TAAGGGACAGGAAGTACTACTAAAGACGAGAGAAGAACTAGCACAGCTAGACCCCAACATATCGTGGTTCAACTACCATCAAATAAGAGAAAACTTCAAGAGAGACAGATTATTAGGCTTTGAAACTAAGAAACTATTTTGGGATAAAATACTAGAGACCGAAACAAAAGTAATAAGGAAAATATATAACCAACTACTATTATGGGCCACGGAAAAGGAACAAATAAAAACAAATATGATAAGATGGGCACAAGACGTAGGACATTCCATACCCCTAGAAGATTGGGAAGGTGTCTGGAGAAAGAAGATCAAATACACCTACGCCACAGAACTTCAAGAGAGCTGGTATAAGATCTATTTTCGATGGTATTTAACACCGGAGATACTTGCGAAAATCAATAAAGGTAAAGTAAATGACAGTTGTTGGAAGTGTGAGAAGAAGAAAGGCAATTTCCTACACATGTGGTGGAACTGTAAAAAAATAAAAAAATATTGGATACAAATACATAAAGCGATGGAAAACATATTTAAGGTAAAATTTGAATGCAATCCAGAAACTCTACTACTTGGCTTACACAAAGTGAAACTTCAGAAAAACGAGGACAGAATCTTTTTCAGTTTAATCGCAGCAGCCAGGATGGTGCTGGCAAGAAAATGGAAAACTGAAGAGCTACCAACGATCGAGCAGTGGATCAGTAAAATAATGGATGTAATGTCTATGGACATCCTGACTCAAAGGATTTCCCAAAACTATACGAAACCCCAAAGAACAGACTGGAGTGCAGTGATAGAATTTATAAGGGAAAGAAATAAAGAAATATACTTAATGGAAATGTAAAATACATTGAGGTAAATTTATAGACATATATTTAAAAAGTAACACAAAACCTAGTGCAACAGTAGATAAGGAGGGGGATGACCCCCCGGGCAATGGAATTTAACGTGGAAAAAAAAAATAGAGCCCATCTGGAGACACCTGGAAGTCCCCACCTCCCTCTCCCCCACACCTCACACCCTCTTTCCCTCTTCCAGCCCGCCCTCCAAACCCCCCCGCCCCTTCCTTGGGTTTGCCCCTAGCATCATCTAATGATGTTATAAATTCCCGCCCCCTCCCCCACTTAGTGTTGTTCTATGTATGTCAGTAATGTATGTATTTGTGATGTCACTTTGTGTTGTATTTACTTGGATGTACTTATAAATAAATAATTAAAAAAAAAAAAGAAATAGGTAAATCCAATTAAGTAAGAAGATAAGCAGGAACAAATTAGTCCAAGGGAGAGTTCAGCAACGTCCATAAAAGCAAAGCCCACACATCTCCAATACAATCCAGAAAATCAGGAATACATTGATCCAAGGCTTGGGTAAGCAATCATGAAATACAGGAAGCCAAAACCATGAACCAGAAATATCTTAGCATGAAACTTCAAAGCAAGGTTTCAATAAAACAAGGACAAGAACTCAGCGTGATTCTAAATGATGCTTCATCTGACTACACACCCCAAATTTGAGACTTTTATTCCCTCGTTACCTAGGTCACTAGTGGTCAGAAATTGGTTTCTCATTAGTTGAGGCTTTGTTATTGTTTTCTGCCGAAGCCTGGCAGATCGCCTAAGCCTTTGCTCAGCCCTCCTGTTTTGACAGAACTCTTCTCGTCTATCACTTGGCTCGTTATCTCTTTGCTCTCTTGGCTCATTATCTGACTTGGCCACGGTAGTCCACACTTTGGTTACATCCCGTTTAGACTACTGCAACGCTCTCTACGTGGGGTTGCCTCTGAAGACTGCCTGGAAGCTGCAGCAAGTACAACGTGCGGCAGCCAGATTACTAACAGGTGCTGGGTACAGGGAGCACACCACTCCGCTGTTACACCAGCTCCACTGGCTGCCAATTAGCTTCTGAGCACAATTCAAAGTGCTGGTGTTAACCTATAAAGCCCTAAATGACTTCGGCTCGGTATACCTCTCTGAACGTATTCTCCCCTATGAACCATCAAGATTACTAAGATCGTCTGGACGGGCCCTGCTCTCAGTCCCACCCGCCTCACAAGTGCGGCTGGTGGGGACGAGGGACAGGGCCTTCTCGGTGGTGGCCCCGCGACTCTGGAACTCTCTCCCACCAGAGGTTAGAACCGCCCCAACAATCCTGACATTCAGGAAACAGGTGAAGTCATGGTTATGGAGACAGGCTTTCGAAGAATGAGACAATGATTTGGATGGAAGACGGTGTATATTCGATTTTAGTATGACGGCTGACCACTGTAGCTTTAAATATATGTGCTTTTAAAATGTTTTATTGTAATGTGTATTTTGATATTTTACCAATTGTATGTGTTTTTATGGTTGGAAACCGGGCTGAGTCCCTCTTATGAGGTGAGAAGCTCGGTATATAAAACTTTGAAATAAAATAAATAAATAATATTTGCTCATTAATTTTTACAGGTGCATCCCCACACCCCCTCAGGGACATTCTCATAGGAAACTACAGGGATCTCCTGGTCATTCTCTGCATTAATATCACTGACCAAACCATTGCCATCTTGAAATTCATCTTGAACCTCATTGACATCACTCCCTTCATCCAAAGCACCCTGATCCTGAAACACAATCACAGGCTGAACTCCAACAGGAGGAATTGTAGATTCAAAATGAGATGGGGAATCCTTCACTCAACACTACAGATCAGGCATGTGCAAACTTCGTCCCTCCAAGTGTTTTGGACTACTGGCTGTTAAGAATTGTGGGAGTTGAAGTCCAAAACACTTGGAGGGATGACGTTTGCTCACACCTGCTATAGATGCACCCTAAGGCAGTGGGTCAATGAGTCCAGGTTGTTGGAGTGGGTGCAATATCCCCCCCCCCCAACCTTCTCTCATTGACTTACAGCAGCACAGGCGGTTGGCGGGCAGCGTTCAGTCCGGCAGTGCACCTCTCCGGAGAGGCAGGTGCAGGTGGTGCATTCGTCCACCTGCCAATGGTCATTGGATTGCAGGGTCTGGCCCTGGTAAGAGCAGCTGTGCCCTGGATCTGCAAACAGGGAGGGAAGAGACTCAACAGGATGGAATAATAGGCAGAAGAAAGTTAGGCAGAAGAAAGTTAGGCAGAAGAAAATGAAATGCAAAGATACGGGATGGGTGACGCCTGGCTCGACAACAGTCCATGTGAGAAAGATCTTGGAGAACATCTTGGAGAAAGATCTTGGTGGAGAACGAGCTGAACATGAGCCAAGAGTGTGTTGCAGCAACTCAAAAAGCTAATGGATTTTGGGTTGCACCAAAAAGGAGTCTAGTGTCCAGATCGAGGAAAGACCAGGTTGTGACGAACCTGGTTGGGAGTCAGCTGCATTAAAATCACTACTGACCGAAAGGTCATGAGTTTGAAGCCAGCCCGGGTTGGAGTAAGCTCCCGAACATTTGTCTAGCTTGCTGTTGACCTTTGCAGCCCAAAAGACAGCTGCATCTGTCAAGTAGGAAATTTAGGTACCACTTGTTGCGGTTTATACGAAACCTAACCCAGAAATTGTGCAGTCCTGTCCAGACTTCCCAGCCCTTTGTTCACCCACAAAGAGTAAAAATGAGACAAGTAAATGGGAAAAACAAAATTTACTAGGTTCTTGTGGGTTTTTTCGGGCTATAGGGCCATGTTCTAGAGGCATTTCTCCTGACGTTTCGCCTGCATCTATGGCAAGCATCCTCAGAGGTAGTGAGGTCTGTTGGAATTAAGACAAAGGGTTTATATATCCGTGGAATGGCTGGGGTGGGGCAAAGAGCTCTTCTCTGCTGGAGCTAGGTGTGAATGTTTCAACTGACCACCTTCATTAGCATTTGAAGGCCTGGCTGAGCCTGGGAAAATCCCCTGTTGAGAGGTGTTAAGATGTGCCTGGTTGTTTCCTCTCTGCTGTTTTGCTGTTGTAATTTTAGAGTTTTTTAATACTGGTAGCCAGATTTTGTTCATTTTCTTTACTCTTGAGTATCAGAGTCACTAGCAAGTTGCAATTTCAACAAGCAATGAGAAAATGAACAAACTCTTTGCACAATATGAATATCTCGATTGCACAATATTTGGTCTTAAATGTGTACGCCTGCAAATGTCTTAATTATTTCCCATAGGTTGCTGATTGCAGCACATTAGATTACATGAAGAAACAACTGATTTAGGGAGTTCACCTGCAGGTTCTTCTTACCTTGGCATTCAGCACAACACTTCCCAGGCACCTGAACCTTCTCCAGCCCGTCCTGGCACAACAAGGGCATGCATTCCTGGATATGGCACTCGATGTGACCCAGCTGAGCGTTAGAAAAAAGGCCAAAAATTAGAACAAGACACTTAAGTGATGACAAAATGAATTCCAATGGGTAGAATGTAAAGTACCAGATAATGTAGAGCAGTGTTTCTCAGTCTTCCTAATGCCATGACTCCTTAATACAGTTCCTTATGATGTGGTGACCCCCCAAACATGAAATCATTTTTGTTGCTACTTCATAACTGTAATTTTGCTACTGTTATCAATTGTAAAGTAAATAGTGGGTTGTTGTAGGTTTTTTCGGGCTATATGCCCATGTTCTAAAGGCATTCTCACCTGACGTTTCGCCTGCATCTATGGCAAGCATCCTCAGAGGTAGTGAGGTCTGTTGGAACTAGGACAATGGGTTTATATATCTGTGGAATGACCAAGGTGGGACAAAGGACTCTTGTCTGCTGGAGCTAGGTGTGAATGTTTCAACGGATCACCTTGATTAGCATTTGATTGCCTGGCAGTGCCTGGATCAATCCTTTGTTGAGAGGTGATGGATGTCATTGTTTGTTTCCTCTCTGTGGCACTGCCAGGCAATCAATTAATATTGGTAGCCAGATTTTGGACACAGCATATTGCAACAGCACAACAACAGCACAGCAACAGAGAGGAAGCAGGCAGGGACAGCTAATAACCTCTCAACAGAGTTTGCTCCAGGCACAGTCTGGCATTCTCTCCTGATGTTTTGCCTGCATCTATGGCAAGTATCTAAAGTCTGTTTACCAGTATTAAAAAAAACCTCTAAAATTACAACAGCTCAACAACAGAGAGGAAACAAACAAGAACATCTAATCACCTCTCAACAAAAGTTTGCTCCAGGCACAGTCAGCCCATTGTATGCTAATCAAGGTGGTCAGTTGAAACATTCACACCTAGCTCCAGCAGACAATAGTCCTTTGTCCCACCTTGGTCATTCCACAGATATATAAACCCCTTTTCCTAGTTCCAACAGTCCTCACTACCTCTGAAGATGCTTGCCATAGATGCAGGTGAAATGTCAGGAGAGAATGCCTCTAGATCATGGACATATAGCCCGAAAAAACCTACAACAACCCAGTGATTCCGGCCATGAAAGCCTTCGACAATACCATGAGGGAGAACTCCCTGAGGCTAAGAGATTTGTGCGAGTGGGGTGTGCTTCCTCAAAGTCCCTCAGAGTCCTGCATTTAGTTCTACACTGTAGATACAACCCATGATATCAAGACCCAGGAAAGGTTTTGCTTATTAGAGAAGCTAAGCTATGCATGATAGAGGATCTCAGTCCAAGGCCAAGTCTAAGGACTGCTTTGCCTCTCCATCCCACTTACGTTGCACGTGCAGGAAACGCAGCTGTCTGTGCTGTCCGTCCAGGTCTCTCCGCTGGAGACGCGCCGCCCTTCAACTTCGATCACACACTCTGTAAAAGGAAAGATGTGGACAAAACCCTTTTCATGCCCAGTGGTGGCACAAATCCTGCAAAGAATTGCATCCAGTGCTTCACAATCATAAAAAGTCAGCATTGACACTGAAATTCAACACCGCCCAAGCTCTGCGAGTGCAGCATTTTTCCAAATGAAGCAGAGAGTGTTCGAGGACCAGGACATCCGTAGGGAGACCAAGGTGCTTGTATATAAAGCTATTGCCCTTCCAACCCTGCTATAGGCCTGCGAAACGTGGACTGTCTACAGACATAACATGCAACTCCTGGAACGATTCCATCAGCGCTGCCTCTGAAAAATCCTGCAAATCTCTTGGGAAGACAGCCAGACAAATGTCAGCGAGCTGGAAGAGGCAAAGACCACCAGCATTGAAGTGATGGTCCTCTGCCGTCAACTCCGCTGGACCGGCCATGTTGTCCAGATCCTTGACCACTGTCTCCCAAAGCAGTTGCTCTACTCTGAACTCAAGAACGGAAAACGAAATGTTGGTGGGCAGGAAAAGAGATTGAAAGATGGGCTCAAAGCCAACCTTAAAACTCTGGCATAGACACTGAGAACTGGGAAGCCCTGGCCCTTGAGTGCTCCAGCTGGAGGTCAGCTGTGACCAGCAGTGCTGAAGAATGGAGGGCGAAAGAGAGAAACGTGCCAAGAGGAAGGCGCATCAACTCAACCCTGACCAGGACTGCCTTCCACCTGGAAACCAATGTCCTCACTGTGGGAGAAGATGCAGGTCAAGGATTGGGCTCCGCAGTCACCTACGGACCCACCACCAGGAGACCACATCTGGAAGACCATCATCCTCGAACTACAAGGGATTGCCTAAGTAAATAAGTAAGTAATATAATCCAGAGTATCTTCTTTGAACTGGATTATTATTTTTATGACAATTTTTGTACTGTTAAGGCATAACAGCCTTAACAGTTGTACATATGTTGCATGATATAGAATCCTAGAATCCTAGAGTTGGAAGAGACCTCATGGGTCATCCAGTCCAACTCCATTCTGCCAAGAAGCAGGAAAATTGCCAAAGCACCCCTGACAGATGGCCATCCAGCCTCTGTTTAAAAGTCTCCAAAGAATCATAGAATCCTAGACTTAGAAGAGACCTCCTGGGCCATCCAGTCCAACCCCATTCTGCCAAGAAGCAGGAAAATTGCATTCAAAGCACCCCTGACAGATGGCCATCCAGCCTCTGTTTAAAAACTTCCAAAGAAAGAGCCTCCACTTTTATTATTTTCAAATATATATATATATATATATATATATATATATATATATATCAATTAACATTTAATTCATTTTTTGACATTGAAGTCACTTGTGTTGCCCATCCCGCCTCCCTCCCTCTGACCACATATTTATTTTATACTACTATCTTTAACCATGCACACAGTTTTCTTAATTTCCGTAACATGCTTATGTTGGCTTCCCTTTTTAACCCAGTCTGTCTACATCATCCACGTCAGGTTTTACAATGTATTGTAATATAATATAGCTGAGTCATGCACTGCTAATAGGCTTCTATTGGAAATGCTGAGTCATGCATTAACTGTATATAGGGAATCATTTGGGGAATGTGTTCTGGCCTAGTCCAGGTGATTGTGAATGATGTAATCCTGGGTCTGAGTTAAGTTAATGAGTTGGGAACCAATCAGAGATTGCTATGTGTAATTGTATAGAATTGTATATAAGGAAGTCATATACAGTGTATATCTCTCCTTGTGCTGTGATGTTGTTCGTTGAAGGCTATATGTAATTAAAGAACCTGTCTGCTAAGACAAGATATAACTGTATGCTGTGGTAAGTTTGTAATATCATCTAGATTGGAGGGGAAAGACAATGGTAAAACTGACAATGGCTGGGCATGTGCTCAAGTGTCTGTAAAAGAGTTCCAGCGTGACTGCAGTTTGTGGGAGCAGTTGACTGAAAATACTGTGCAGGAAGAAGCTACTGGAAAGTGCTGAAGTTGTGCAACTGATCTGCTGCTGAATTGTGAAGTTAATCTCAACAATCCATTTGTTCTTTATTTCATTTATTTTATCTTCTTGAGTATCATCATGAACTGGATCATATGGCAGTGTAGGCTCATATAATCCAGTTCATAGCAGATAATCTGTGATTATCTTGGTATCCGCAGGGATACCAAGGTGCTTGTCTATAAAGCTATTGTCCTCCCAACCCTGCTATATGCCTGTGAAACG